GTGAAGAAGCTGAAGATGTAGAAGTACCAAAAGCATTAGGTGATGTTTTTGAATCACTAGCTGGTGCAATTTATTTAGATAGTGGAATGTCCTTGGATGCAGTATGGAGCGTCTATTACGCCATTATGAAAAATGAAATTGGTAACTTTTTAAAATATCTTTTATCTAATTACAAAGATAAATTTTTTATGAAAAGAAACAACAGGGATATTTCACCATTTCAGAACAATTCAGCACCAATGTTCCTAAATCTCCAATTCGTGAACTATTAGAATTAGAGCCTGAAACAGCAAAGTTTGGAAAACCAGAAAAATTGGCTGATGGACGAAGAGTTCGAGTTACAGTGGATGTTTTTGGTAAGGGCTCTTTTAAAGGAATTGGCAGAAATTACAGAATTGCAAAATGTACTGCAGCAAAGTGTGCTTTAAAAAAGCTGAAGAAGATGCAGAATTATTCAAGAGATAAACTATGATAACATATACAATATTAGATCAAAATGAAAACATAAAATAAGATTAATTTCTGTATTACTGTTAAAATATATTTCTACAAAATTGTATTCGTAAATACTTATAAATTTGTAATATAAACAAATTTTATGCATTCTAGGCTAAAATAACATTGCACTAACGTTATAGAATGGATTTATGAATTGCATGAATATCGAAGTTTATTATTACAATTAACGAAACAAAATTTTGGGGAAGAAGCGTAAATATATTATATTGTAAATATTTAAACAATCATATAAAAAGTACTTAAAAATTCCAAAACTATTTTTCAAATATGCTATATTGAAATATGTAGTTCTGGCATTCAATGTATCATAAGTATTAATTTATTCAATTGTAAGTAACTTTTTTCTATGACATAAAATATCTTTCGATCATCTCATTACCTTATAAATTATGCAATTTGTTGTTTACCAATTTTCCTCAAAATTCTAGTCAACACATTATATGCTTTTTAAACATATTTTCCCAGTATTAAAAAGATTTAGAACCGGTGGAATTTTTTATAATAGAAATATACACAATAAACATATTGTATAGAAAGATTAATATGTATTAGGAAAATTAATAGCTAAATTTAAAAAGTTAAAAATTAATATCTTCTTTCTTAATGAAGTTGTTTCCAATGAAGTTGTAAAATTTTTTATACCTTTAAATTTTTATCAATACCTAATTATTATTTATTAAGAAATTGGCAATTTCAATTTCAAGTAAAATTATGAAAAATGTATAATCTAAAACGGAAATTACATCATATGGTCATAGTTTTATACAATATGATAAGTTTAAGATTGTTATATAATGTTTATAGATTACAACATAACATAATCGTAGTAACTAGCATTACTCTTCTTTTTTTGTAGAAACGAATATTTATCATGTAAGTTGTACGAATTTTTTGTAATAAATGTTTTTAATTACATAAAATAAGAGAATGAATTTTAAATTGTGCTATAAAATTAAATTTTTTTAATACGGTACAATAATTTTATTATATGTGTATTTAAATATATTAAAACTTTCAATTAGAAATTTCACGATGGTTATTAGACGACATATATATTTATAGTTTTTCGAGATTCGATTGTATCTTTAATAATGTGTTGGTTCTGATGTTTTATGAACATTGCAGTTCACGTTTTCGAGGAAGGCTTGAAACAGAATAGTATTGTAATGTTCACGAACCATTGGAATAAAGACCAATGCGCTATTAAAAACGCGATCAGAACCCGAAGAACCACCCGAAGAAAATATAATATATATACAATTTAATATCTTTTTATATCTATTTAAAATGAAAATGTTAAGAGCCAAACTGGCTATAAAAAAGAGCTATAGCAGGATCTTCACATTTGCATGTAATTAACACGTCTCGAAATTTATCTAAGATTTGTAATAATTGCGATCTACGAATATTTTCTAAATACATAATTTCTTCTAAATGATGACCTCCATTAAAGTAGCCAAGACGGCATAATCTGTCAAGTAATTTTCTGTCATCAGAAGGAATATCATACTCCTCTGATTGATAATTGTATATTCCATTTTCTTTATGAAGTGTTATTGATAGTTCTTCATTTATATCAGCTTTTGGAACATCACTTAAGTTACATGCACTACTATTGTCTGTGATTTCATTTATATTATGATTCAATTCATCTTTTGCATCCTTAAAAAATATGTGGCAAATTATAATTAAGAAATAATTTAATTTATAGTTAAAAAATAAATTTCTTTAAACTTACCAATGATACTCGTCCGTGTACAGTTGGCATATATTGTACATATGTATGTAGTTGTAAAAGTAAATGATTCTTTAATAACCATATTATTATTTTTACTAATTGTGTTTGTTGTTGTGACTGGCTCAAAGGATTTAACTGTTGACTTATGGAAATTGGTAGTGAAAAATCACTGAGAACCTATTACCAGTAGAAATTTAATTTTACATACAACTCGAATAACATAAAATTATATAAACAATTCTTTCACATACTTGTAAAAGACAAAGCCCAGGAAATTCTTCAGAAAATACCTCTAACAATTGATTTGTAATAATAGCATCTGGTGATACAACATAAACATTGTTTTCACAAAGAGGATAAATTATAGTAGCTTTAGCCCAATATATTAAATGCCCAGTCAATTGAAAAACTTGAGTTAGTGTTAAGTCAGAATCAGCAGCCAGAGTTTGTAGACTCTTTAAAGGACTATACATTTGGATTAGGCGTTTAAGTGCAGGAGAAGAATCTATTGGAAGTGAATCCAATAAATCCAAAGGTTCAATGAGTAATAAAATACCGTGATAAGGCCTTAAACTGTTTAAACACCTGCAATAAAGTTTAATGTTCAATATTTACTTCAATTTGTAATTATTGAATATAATATTTACCTGTCTATTATTTCTGGATTGATAACAAATCCTTTTTTATGAGATTGATGAACTTTTTGTGGGAGACAGAAACGTACTTGAATCCATTTATTAATCATAATATTGATTATACCAGAAGTAGTAAGACTACTAAACACAGACTTCAAATCACGTGAAAGTGAACTTCTTTGCAATATTAATTCATATGGCGACTCATCGCAATCACTTTCACCTTCTGATCTATAAATACATATAAGAAGTTCTGATTGTTATTCTTTTATCACACATATAATTCTATATACCTAGTAGCAACTTCATCATGAGTAGAAACCATAATCTTTATTTCTTCTGTTAAAAATCCACATCTCTTTTCTTCGTGTCTCAAAGCTATGCCTAACCTAAGATAAATAACACTTGAAATTTTGTCTTTCATATATCATGCTTTTATAATATAATATATGACAAACCTTCTACTTAAATCATAATAACATTTTACTATAGAATGGCTGGCTTGAGCTTGAAGGGCAAAAACTATATTAAAAAGCATCGAAGAATTAACCTCTTTCATTCCATGAGATGGAACTAAAGTTGGGTGTCCAACAAAACGGACATCATTTACTTTTAATTCGAACTTTTGTTCACATAATTCTGGTTTAACAGCAAATAATGTAGATAATACTTCATCAGTTACTCCAGTCAAATTTCCATTGCTTATGTTAGAGATTGGAAAAGGTAAAGACTGTTAATAAAATTTATTGAATGTTATTAAATTACTTTATTTGTGCAATGATATCATGTGATATTGAATTAATAACATTTGTCGCAAAGAACTAGGTCAGAATATTATATGAAACAGACCTGTAATAAATCCTCCGTGATAGTCAAAGAATAAGGATTTTTTCTTCTAGTACATTGATTAGAATCTCGTGTATGTTTCGCTACGTGTGGATATCGAAATAAAAGTCTATCACCTTTACTATCACTTTTCACAAGAATTATACTCAATGGATTTATCTCCATAACTGCTGTTAATTGATATAGAGGTTATATGAAACTTGTCATCAATAAATTATTAACCAGAAAATTTAATTAGTTAGAAAGGAAATCGGTAAATATATAATCGGCAAAAATATAAACTCGAAATAATTTTATATTCGAGATATAAATACCATTTTTCTGAGTAAACATTTTTTGACATATTGTTCATTACGTTTTACCGGAACCACGCGGTTTAGATATTACGCTATTCTTAAGTTTAACACACATGCATTTTGGTTTAACAAACATGGTTTTTTAAAGGTTCGTTTAAGAAATTTGTACTGCAAATTCATAAATATCATATGATTATAATTAAACATTTAATTGTATGTTTAAGTAGTCAAATTATTTCTCGTGTTTAGTGTACTGATTACAGTGGTAATGTGCTTAAACATTTATCATTCTTTATCCTGTTTTTGAATACTATAGGATTGTTTTGTCTCCAATCTATGTCTATTATAATATTTTAATAAAATTTATATTTTAATTTAAGAAACAACAATCTAATCACCTTACATTAATTATTGTCACTAGCAGAATATCAAAAAAGATATTGAAAAACCCAAGAACGACTTTTGGAATAACGTCTGATTGCAATTATACTCATACTACTGACAATACATCTAAAGACTTATTTTGTTCATGCAATTAATTCATTAATGCTTATTTACATTCAATATTTTTGAACGAATTAAAAATAAAATTTGTAAAATTATTATATGCAGTATACATACAATTATTAAATACTATAAAATTTTAATGTGTAATATATAATTCTCTCTCTATATACATTGTACATACATATAATACTTTGAAATTGTATCTTAATACACTGTACCTTTTTCTAAACTTTAAATATTGCGGCTACGCAATAATCTCCTGTAAATATGCGATAAAATACATTAAGCGAATAATTCTAAATAATATAATATATTTTACTTTTTTAATAATATGAAAGACATAGTTTAATTACGATTGATAAAGATAACATCATTAATTTTTTTAAAATCATACATGTACATTATACGTAGAACATTATTGCATGAATAAATTAAATGATATTATTGTTATTGTTACAGGCGCAAGGAGTAGACTGGCTGAAGAAATTTTCTCCGCCGTTCAATACGACAACGCGTGCGCTTTTCTTCCGGAGGAGCCAGTAGTCGTTCTAATGGTACTTTCATACGAGGGTGTTGTTTAACGGTGAGAATGTACTTTTCAGTGTTATTATTGTTTTCTTCGTACTTAAAAATAAATAAGACAATGCATATGATATTGTTTTTATCGTTCACCTATTTTTTCAATTAAATTGAAGATAATATAAAAACCAACATTAGGAATCAAAGGTGTTGATTAATGACAGAAAAAGCAAAGAGTAAATGAAATATAATAACATTATAAATATCAAATAATTATCATCTTGTTAAATATATAATAAATGTTTACCTCATATTGTTCCTTTTAAGTAAATTAAAAATATAATTAATCAAGCAAAGAATAAGTGGTTTAAACAAATTTCGTTTCGCTTAACCATACAATGAAAATTAGTCATTATTAATTAACTATTTCTGTAATGTTAATGATAGATGAGAGGTTTTGATTTAACAATGAATAATTCGGGTTGTGCGACTTGCACACTCGAACCACCGCCTGATATTCTTCATATACCGCCACCGCCGTTCCCAGCGATTCTCCAACAAAGTTCCGACTTTTATCCGCACACGGATTTATTATCGTTTCCACCTCATCTCAATGACAGCCCTTGTAAACATTTCTGCGATCGCCGCTCCGAAGGTGTTCAATACATAGAAATGCCTCAACAAGGTCTACTATGAAATCTATAATTATTTTACACTCACTTATTTATACTCGTTCAATCAATTTATTTATTTGTATTTATAATTCGATGTTCTATCATGTTATATTTTAAACATTTTCAATTTTAAAAAATGGTCAAAACGAAAAAATACGTGCTATGTCTAAGAATAAATAAATATATATAATTCATTACATTTTTAGGAACAGTATTTGACGATACATGGTTGCTGGTTCTAATATTCTCCTGTATCGGTGTAATTTTCATAGGCATCATTCTGGCGATATTACTCTTGAAATGCAAATTGTAAGTCTCCTTCCATTATTTATTTTTTAAGAATAATAAGATAGAGAACAATCAAAATTATCAGTTAAATACAAATTAAATATGCAAATAAAATATTAAATCATGACTATATTTTACGAAATATATATCGAGTGAATAAATTTTATAACCAAAACAATATATAGAATAACAATAAACTTTTACTCTACAGCAATAGAAGTGGCAAGAGCGGCGTAATTTCCATACCAAACACAACATCTGGTATACAAGCAAAAAACGGGAGGATTCAAAACGAAGCTGTTCTTTATCCCTGTGCAGCTGATACTATGCAAGATAGCCGTGTTATGTGGGCTACTCTGACACCACGGGGTACCACCAGACACTATCTAGAGGAACATACCTATGAAACCATTGGCGGTGGACAATTCCATAAACGTGCCTGTTCAACTACGCCAACTGAACATGTAAAACTTAAGGCAATTTAATATTACGTTTGTATACGTAGTTATACTTTCATTCACATACACGGTTCCAAAAAAATTTTGTTACAATTGGAATAAATCGAATAAACTATCGATAGTGAAAAACAATTGCAATTCTAAACAATGATAAAACAGAAACAATATACGCTGACTAATGTAAGAATAAAGGAAGAACGTACAATTATTTATTCAAAAAAAATTGTATATTCCTTGAATGAAGTAAGGAAACATTTAAAATATCTGAAGATAGATTATTGATTTTGCAGACTTACGCAGATCCACCGGTAACTACCCCGATTCAAAATCGCCTGAAGGACGACAAAGCCTTTGATAACACTGCGTTTGTAGATTACGAAGAACCTTCGTTAATAAAGACTGACTATTATCAGCTCAATGATGTTTTGGAGTCGAATGATCCAGGCAATGTTTTAATGCTCACATTTTTATTGATAAATATAATTAGCGCATCTGTAATTTAATTTTGATTTTGATTATAGGTATACAAAGAGGAACATCGCGCCCACGCGTCAGTTCGCCGACACGAATCGAACATCCAAATTTACCACCCCTTAATCTTCACCCTCATAAACGTTCCTCTCGTAAAGGATCTGCTACACCACAAACTACAGATACTTTATTAAGAAGTAGTATCACATCATCTACATATATTCCTACTATATAAGTTTTACGTCCAGTCTTTGTTATACATACATATTTAAAGGCTTATACAATAAGCGACATAAACAACAGTACATTTTGTATACATTACCTTTACATCTAGTCATTATAAATAAGAAATAACTGCCAGTCAAATTAAAGCGACCTAGTCGTTAGCCGGTATATGTAAATTATATATACTTTTTTCTTTAACCAATTAAAAAATTGAAATCATAGTAATGTGATCGAGTTAGTATATTTAGATATATAACATTCTATATATGTTAAATTTGTATTGTGTATGAAATATCATATATCTAATAAAATTTAGGGATGTATGTAAAAATTAATCTTATTTCATACATCCATGTATATTTTATTTTGACCAATAAAATTTTATCATTTTCACGAACATTTTCATAATATTAATTTATTACAGATAGGAACTCAGATATAGTTAAACAAAGAAGATAATATGTAAATATTTTTGTATGTATTAAGTATTAACAATTCTAAATTCCCTGTAAATTTTGATTTTATATAAAAACCAGATTAACATATTAGTATTTTGTAAATCTACCACATTTCATATAAGTATACATTTATGTAGGATCTTTACTACAATTAGTTTATTTACAATAAATGGATTAAACATTAAAATGGTTAAACAGGAAACGATGGTTCTTTAACGTGAATTAATCATAATAACGTATTATAATTAAGACAAGTAGATAGTTAATTTGCAACTCTTGTCACCACGAATTCAACGCTCTCTCTCTCTCTCTCTCTCTCACGCAGACTACACTCTCTCGACAACGCAATTAACACTCTCTGACTTCTCAACTAGCACTCTGACTGTTAATTTGTCTTTCTCCCTTAGCATCCCTTTGTCTTTTATCTAAACCCCACCACGCACGTGTTCCGTAATCGCTCGTGGCCAGGGTCACGCAGGCCTTTTCCGCGAAATTATTCGATTGAAGGACCGATGATACATTGTTGGGACTGTCGGCTTTCTCGCGACATTGTTTATAGTTCGCCCGATATCTCTTAGGCCTTTCGTCCACGATACTACATTTATATATAAATGAAACTCACAATATGTATATATGGACAGTCAAATTTACAACTCGATATTGTTTAAAATATGAGTCAGGCTTAAATACTGAAATAAAGTGTTTATAAAATAAAACTATAATTAGAAAACTTAGTTTTTATTATATAAATAGTTTCAAACGTAAAATATATCTGTATATAAGTAATTTTATAATTTTACATTTATTCGAAATAAAGCATTACATTACAGCTTCTTGTTTTTGTATAAAGAATATGCAGTAACTAAATATTACACTTTTTACTGATAAATTTTGTTATTAAAATAAATGTGATTCCTATTAAAAGGAAATGCTATTTATTATGACATTATTTTTTCAATTTGTGTTAACAAATTACTGTTATTCTTTACATTGAAAAAAGAAATTAACATTCCACTTTTAAACAAATATGATACTACAAAAAAAAAGATTATACTGTGGAACTCTTTTAAATACTATAGTAATAATATGAATAACATTACTTTTCCATATAAATGTTCACAGAATATTCTCAGAATGTCTTTAGAATATCCTACCCAGTAGTAAACTCTTTTATGCTAAAATATTTTGTAATTTTTGGAAGTTATTGTAAGTTATTCTGCTTATACATTGTCAGTAGTTGTTTAAATAAATATCTTTTTTTATAAAAGCTTGGACTTCAGTATTTCATAAATCATCTTATTTCGAAAATATGGCATATCCTGCTGTGTAAACGTGATCTTTTTATTTCCACAAATATATTCAGCAAACATACAAGAGAAGACTCCACAGTCACTGCCATTCATTTGTTGTGGGATATTTTTGGCACACTCTAATTTCCAGCTACTGGTATCATAAGTTTGCTTCTTTTTATCCAAACTTTCATCTTCCAAATATTGTCGTAATGCTGACAGACACTTGGAGTTGTTGCCACCCATACTGTCATAATAACGAATAGACTTGTCCCGAAAGTCGATTATTGACATACACCAATGAATGCCTAAATGTATAGGAACAACTATAATATCCTGTGAAAAAATATCAATTTTTCTAGTCCATCTTCTTAAGGATGAATGTCCACCTGAGATTAATTTTGGATAAAAAAACGTATTCATAGCATGTACTTTTGGATATTTATCATTACTATTACTTCTGGCTATTAATAAATTCATATAAAAATTTATTACTTCGTCGTTTAACCAATTCAAATCAGCTAATGTATGAATATCTCTTCTTGTTATTCCTAAACCAAATCCTTCAACAAGAACTTCATCTGAAGGTCGAGAAATAAGAGCATTTCTTACTTCTTGCAGCATTTCCTCCGTTAAAGTAGGTAATTCTGGCTCTTCTAATTTTTCTCTTTCCAAAACAGCCTCACATAATCTTATAGATCGTGCTAGATGTTCTTCTAGTGCAGCTTCTCTTGCTAAACGATTATGTTTAGACAAAACACAGGTCATTCTTTTAAGCTCCTCTGCTTCTTTATGACGTTGTTCGATTCGTTCGTCATATCTTTTTGTTACTTGAGGGACAAAATCCTCTCTCATTACAGCTTTTGCTGCTAATCGATCTCTTAAGGTGTTTGTAGTTATACTTTCAGGATATTTATTTTGTGCAAATTTTTCGACAGCCGTATCTTTTTTAGGACATTGTGTCTCATTGTGAATGGAATGTATTGTCCTTTCTTTCTCGTCATTATCTACATTGATAATTATTTCTCTACCTTTTTTTTCTCTAATTGGAATAGTCCAATGCATTTGTAACGTTCTATCATGTTTTCTATAAGCTGGCTGAGTTTTAGGAAAAGGAGACGAAGAACCAGATTTATCTAAATCTATTACTTCTATTGGTTTCTGTCTAGATCTTTTATCTTCATGTTTATCACATATAACATCTATCCTACGTGGGAAAAAATTCTGTAATAACTCTTCGTACTGATTTTTTTCTCTTAGACGATGAGTTTTAAATAATGTTGAACATTGTTGATGTGGCACAACATTTTGTCCTCTATCACTTTTATTACTAGTATGTCCCATACTTGCTTTATCATAACATTGCTGTGATTTTGATGAGGAAAAGGTTGATGGACAGCATGTCAGTGACTTGTCTCTACTATTACATGTACCATTTAATCTACTAGATGATTTAATAGGAGAATATTTATCTTTAGAAATATCTTGAATATCGCCATCGCTGTCATCTTTAATTTCAATGGGTTCTTCCTCCACATTAATGATATCGTAATCACAACGATGTTTTTTAGGAGTAACAAATTCTTTTTCTGAACTAAATGAAACTCTACGTTTTCTAGGTGCTTCATCTACCCACCCAAAAAATTTTTTCAGAAAGTCGAATATCATGATTGTTGTAAAAAAACAATTGCTTGTAGCACAAAATCCAACTGTCTTTTACTAATATGGCCATTCAATATATTGTAAATGATGTATCTTTTATTGTTTCTCATATAATTCTGAAAATTTTATCAAATTTTCATCAGTCATGTAATGAACTAACGTGCAATAGTAATATAATATAATATAATATAATATAATATAATATAATATAATATAATGGGATATACAAGTAAGTATCTAATGTATAAAAAGAGAAAAATTGTTAAATGTAATACTTACAATGTATGCAGATAAAAATATATATATCTGTATATATACGTGTGTGCATATGCATGAAGATTGAGATTGATAACCGCTACGTCAGAATTGTTGAATCAAATAACCTAAAATAATCTTTAAGATTATTTGAGATATTTTAATATCAAAATAAATAAATATAGAAAAAATATTTAAGCATAAATCATTAATTGTAAATGAAAAGTATCATTACATATAAATCACAGAATGCAACTGTACCTATAATTAATTTGATTTATTATTTTAAAGTTTGGGGTTTCATGTTAATAACCGGCATTATAAATTTTGTAAAATTCCAAAGAAATATAAACAAATTCTACACCTAACGCTATGTACTTCACATCCAAATTTAAACACCAAGTATACTAATAAACCGTGTGTTCAATTCCATTGTAATAACACAGAATATGGATTGACAACTCCCGCGTATTTCATGGAAAAATTTACGCCCTTCGGTGTCACTTTCAAGAACTATACATTTGATTTCCTTTCTTTGTTAAGTTATTACGTGAACGTAGTTTTAATGTATTTATACCTAGCGATATCGATATGTAAATTAGGAGCGAAATTTAAAATTGTCTATGGTCATATGACTGTGATTTGTACATACATATATGTATGTACATATATGTACATATACACACATTAAATATGAAAATATTCAAATATTCAATACGTATGACATGATATGAAAAATGTTATAATTCAAAAAGCAGGAAATACCCTATTCAAAAAACTGAGAATTTGGTTGGATGTTAATTTAACTGGAAAGAAAATTTTCGATTAGTTACACGAATTCTGATCTAGTACTGAATAATAGAGATCTGGAAGGAGGATCCTAAAAGCATGAAGAAAAACTGGAGCATAACTTTCAAAAAGAAAAGAATTTTTGTATCTTGAACAGTTAGCTAACAGTTTTAAAATTTTCACGCATTCTAACTAGTAAATGTTTTACGCTCCATGGGTACCAATCCACATAAAATAAATCCTTAGATGAGCACGAAATACGTAATAATCCTATCGAATTTATTCATATAAAAATCATAACTTCATTTAATTATAAATAATAATATTGATGGAAAGATATATTTTTGTATTATTTTAACATAACTAAGTTATAAAAAGATATACATATACATATGTAAGTTAGTTGTATAAAGTCATAGTTATATAGTATATATACGCATGCGTTTTTTTAAACATAACTTCATATTTTATATTTATGAGTAATTTCATGATTCTTTTGTATTCTTTCAGATAATGCAAAATCTTATCATTATTCAATACTGTTACTCGCAGAAAGATAGTAATTAGATAGGTTATCATATATATATATATATATATATATATATATATATATATATATATATATATATATATATATATATATATATATATATATATATATATATATATATATATATATATATATATATATATATATATATATATATATATATATATATATATATATATATATATATATATATATATATATATATATATATATATATATATATATATATATATATATATATATATATATATATATATATATATATATATATATATATATATATATATATATATATATATATATATATATATATATATATATATATATATATATATATATATATATATATATATATATATATATATATATATATATATATATATATATATATATATATATATATATATATATATATATATATATATATATATATATATATATATATATATATATATATATATATATATATATATATATATATATATATATATATATATATATATATATATATATATAAATGTATGTATGTATGTACGTACGTACGTACATATGTATGTATGTAAGCCTTTAAAATATAAGTTAAACATAATATGATTTAGAGGTCTTCATATATTTACAATCACTGTATAAACAATATATTTGATAAGTCGTAATTGTAAAAAGGATAAAGATATAGTAACAGTACAGAACTCATTTCATATAATGAGTAATGTTAATGAAGGATTTATTGCTGTACATGTGGGTATGTTATTATTTACTTAAAACATATAAAATGAAACATCTGAGCACAATTATAACAGAACTAAACAAATTGATCTTAATTAAATGAAATGTTTATATTTACAATATTATAATAATATATATTTTATTAGGAGCAGGACGACATTCAGAAGCTCTTAAAGAAAAATATCGGAAACTATGTCGTCAAGCATGCAAAGCTGTAAATTATTTTTACTTATATTTTAATATATTTTAATATATTATATGGTATAATCCTAGGCAATTTAATAAATAACAATATTTTTAAAGGGCATACAAAATTTAAAGGCTGGTGGTAGTTCATTAGATGCTGTGGTAGAAACTGTAATAGTATTAGAAAACTCTCCTTTAACTAATGCTGGATTTGGGTCAAATCTCACATTGGAAGGAGCAGTAGAATGTGATGCAAGTGTAATGGATGGTACTACATTACAATTTGGAGCAGTTGGTGCAGTTAGTGGAATAAAAAATCCTGTTTCATTGGCAAAACGACTTTGCGAATATCAGTCAATTAAAATTGCATATGGTAGGATTCCACCAAGGTAAATATTAAAAGCTGAGGTCAACTTGCAGTAAAGCAGCCAGAGTTTGATGGCACCTGTTCTAATTGCTTCATGTATATATATAAACAATAGCAAAAATAAAAAACATGAACAGCTTGAATAACTTTCAGAAAAATAAAAAATCTAAAGAAGAGGAAGAATGGAGAAAAGCTTTAGGAACTTAATAGCATTTATAAAAATACTTTAATATTCTTAATATAAATTGTTCATTAAGCTATACATATGTGTAATTTTTCATTGATATTTTAATTCTAAAACGGATTGCGTTTCAAGTTTGGCAATGTTGTTGTATGATGTAAAGCCATGATACCAAGAAATACATAAAAAGAAAGAACGTCTGTCTCATCTCCATCTTTAATGTGACCTAAATAAATTTCTCTCTTTTAGTGATAATACATGATAAAACATAAATGTCAGTGTCTCCATTTTATATTAAAATCCTTCTTCAACTTGTCTATTTTTTGGATGATTTTTATTCTTTGAAGGTCATGCATGCACAACTGCTTATTCTTTTTATTTTTCCTACTGTTTATATATATAAAAAATTAATTAAAATAAATTAAAATTAATTTAATAAATTAAAATTAATTTAAATGATTAAAATAAATTTTACCAATAAGACACTTTTTCTATAAATTCAACAACGCCAATGTTATAAAAATTTAAAATAAGAAATAAAAGTAAATTTATGATGTAATAATAATAATAATAATTTTAAAAAATTCATTTTATGATATCAGTTTTTTAGTTGGGAATGGTGCACATGTATGGGCACAAGAAATGGGAATACAAACATTACCACCAGAACAACTAATTTCAAGTATGTAACAATTAATTTAACACATTCGCTTATGATTTTTCTATAGCTATGTTTATAAATGTTAGCTATTTATTGTTTTATGTCTGGAGTAAAATATTGAAATATTATATATAATTCAGAATAATTATTATTCAAGGTGATAAAAAAGGAACTTTTAGGAACTTTTATTATATGAAAATTTAAATGTTTATGACAAATATTTTTTATATTTATATATATTTCCATTAATTTTAATTAATAAATTAATATTCTGTTATAATTTTTAGCAAAAGCACAGAAGATGTATAAACATTATAAAAGAAAAATAGAAAGTTCTGATATAGATGTTCACAAGGTAAATTATTTTTCAATATCTTTGTACATTATTATATAATCTTAAATTAATTTAATGGTTTAGTATACTAAACAAAGAATGGATACAGTTGGTGCAATATGTGTTGATAAAGAAGGAAATATTGCTGGAGCTTGTTCTAGTGGTGGTATTATTTTAAAATATCCAGGAAGAGTAGGACAGGTACAACATTTTCTATTTTTTATTATCAGCATTGGTTGCAGATGTAATAATAATACTATTGAACTATGACATTAAGGCAGGAATGTGGGGATGTGGAACATGGGCATATAAAGACAAATATTCTATAGGAACAAGCACATCAGGCTGTGGCGAACATCTCATTCGCACTTTGCTAGCACGAACAACTGCAGAAGCTATATCACATAATTCTTGTCCTATTATCAACTTATACCATTCTATGAAAGCTGATTTTATTGGTGAAAACTCGTAACTACTTTATCAATATCTTCCAGTGCCAACAAATCTTTTATATTAGAAAGAATAAACTAAAGGTTATTATAAATAAAGAAAAATTTCTTTCAGATTCGAAATTTTTATGTGGACTTGAACAGAAACTTGGAGGTGTTATTGCTATTCGATATGCAGCCCAAGAAGGAGTAGGAGATTTCCTTTGGAGTCATTCTACAAATTCAATGATAATAGGTTACATGAATTCAAATGAACAAACACCAATGGTATGATTGGTTATTATTCAAAATAAAAAGAGATGTAAATATTATATTTATAATTTTTCAGAGTCATATGGCTGTTCTCCCATCTCATGAAGTTGGCAAGAAAGCAACTGTCGAAGGAATCTGTTTCAAAATTACATAACATGTTAATGGATTTATGATTATGATAATATACAATAATGTCAATATGTAGGTTTTTTTATAAAATGTAAATTATTTCTTATTTTCATGTAGCATACAAAAAAATCTGTTCAAAGCTGATTAATAAAGTAGTTTTTCATACATAATATTACATAATATTATATAATATTACATACCTACCTCATACATATTATAAGCAATTTTAGATATACAAAAAAAAAGAACTTATTTTATGAAGTATAACGTATATGTTTAATGCTGTAATAAAAAATATAAGTTAAAAGATGATAATTAAAAAAGAAGATAAAGAAAGAAACAATTAACAAAGAACAATAAAAATAATTCTCATATATCTTTTAGAAATATGATCCAATGCCTAACACAATTTGTTTAACTTACAGTTTAAAAATAATTGTATAATGTAACAATTTTTCACTTAATAGGAGAGCATTTTTAGTATTTTCTTTGTGTCTGATAATAGCAAAAAATATATTGAATGATTGATATTATAAGCATCATCCGTTCTACATTTATATAGGTTTACGTACATAAAGATCAAAATAGGCGTTATACGTTGTACTTACATAATTCTTCTTTTATATTCTTATATACTTTTCTTTCTATTAACATTAAGATACGACATCTCATACATACATTAAATTAGTAAGAAATAAATGGTTAACACTTATGTTTTTTTATTCTTATAATCTATACGTATTTTGAGTTCTACTAATTTATTAATCAAAAGGTACAGCAATTTTTCTAGATATAAATATATATAAGATCAGATCACATAAAAAGAATATAAGATCAGTCATTCCTTTTTGAAGAAATCCTGATATTTTCAAATTAATATATTTTTCGAAAACTCTAACTATCCTGGTTTCTAAAACCACGAATTTCTGTTTCAAATATTATCTACATACATAACTACATAACAATCACCAAATATACAATCTACCTATCTATTATTGATATGATAAACTCAGACATGTTTCAATAAATTGTCTATTTCATACTAATTACATATTTCATTTTTAAAATGCATTTGCAACTGTTCGTATAGTATCTTGTTTATAAATTATTTTAATATTAGAAAGATCTCTATTATTATATTTTAGAATGGATAAATGTTTATAAACTTCCAATATCGTTGAATCTTTTGAGTTTTTCGGGAAATATATCTTTGAATAAAACCGGATCTGCTCGGAATTCAACTGACTGTAACGGCATTGTGCCATAAATTGAAGAAAATCTATTTATACATTGTGTACGTTCTACCATATGTGTTAAATCTGCAGACAACATTTCAGTATTTGTGCATTCTGGGCATCGAAATTTCTTTTTTGGTGTCACCTATGATAATATTAAGTATTTAGTATATTATTTATCTCAAATTAAAAAAATTGTAATACACTTACTTTTATGGGTGCTTTTCTTGTGATATTTGCTACTAAAAAATTCATGGCTATGTCCTCACAATTCATATGTTCATCAACCCATTCTTTTATATCACCGGGCATAGCAGTGGTATACATATAATTCCAATACTGAAATATTATTCAAAATATTAACATGATCTAATATGTTGAGTTACGAATAGAATCTAAATTATACTTAATTTTCTTAGAAACTTATATCCGGAAACATAGGAATGCAGGAAATTTATGTTGGAAATATCTTTTTCAGGAAGGAATAACAAAGTCCAAGAGTTAAGAAATTATATTTCTGGGGTCTGAAATAGAAATATATTGGACTCTAAGTCTTTCTAATAAAATACGTGTTATATTACTTTATGATGAAATGCAGCTCCAGTTAAAACCATAGAAATACTATTAGTCCATTCACTTTCGTATTTCCAACAATTTGTTCCATTATCCCACATATGAATTCTAGATGGAAAACCAACTATTCGGTCTGGAAACTCTCTCCATACCTAATAATTACTCATATGTATTATTATTTTTACTTTTTTAATTTTATATAATTTTTTAAAAATTGACTTTTAAATGTAGTAGACATACCTCATAAGCAAATTCTACTTCATCAGCAGTTAACATAATAATATCATCATCTATTGATAGAACTGCTTCAGTTTCAATTTCATCATAAGGATAAAATCTGTTGGATAGTTTATTTTCCTTTGTTTGTATAACTTTCAATGGTTTATTTAACTTTGGCCATCTAGATGCTGTAATACATATACAAAATTTTTAGAAACCATCAGACCAAAGAAACACATAAAATAATATTAATATAAAAAATAAAAATTTACAATGTGGAGGATCTTTCTGTTGATTATTCCATATAACTAGAACTTTAGACAAGCTTGGTACTTTAACAAGTTTATTAATTAAAAGAAATAACAATTCCAATCTGTCGTACGTCAGAATTACAGCAGTAAATCCTCGAGTTTTTGGCGCAGTAATTGGTAGAAACAGCGGAGACATAATATCCTACATTTATAATAAAATAATAGTTATAATCTGATTTATTAGTCACTTATTAATTATTATAGTTTATACTTTCTGTATGAGATGGTATATTCCAAAATGTATAATCTCTAGCTAAATGTGGAAATACACGATCTGCGAGTATTTCCAATGCAGTTTCTGTTATTTTTTCCACAGACATAAAATATTTTTCATAAAGCCATGCACCTTGTTCTTGAAGTTCTATAATTCGTTGTGGAGATATCTTTTTTAAAACTGATATTATTGATAAGATATCGACTTCACGTACAAATATAGCAGCCCTAAATAAAGAATATATTTCTTTGTAACATCTTTTTAAAAACAGCTAATATATAATTAATTACCTCTTACCTACTCCAATCAATTATCCCATGATAAGGCATTGTAAGAGAATCAGCTATAATTATAGGTATAGAACCTGCTGCCATACATTCTAAAAGTGTGCTCTGGCCAAGTCTTGCACCTCGAATTACTAGACAAAATGTTGCTGTCTAACAGTAATAGATATAGTAAACAAATATTGTTTTAATTATAGCAGTCATTACAATCTTACATACTTGAAGCACATTAGGATACTTATAAACGTCTTCTCCTGCACACCGAATTGCACTGTTCATAGAACTATAATGCAAACATGTACCTAATATTAAGATATCCTTTGGCGACAGAGATTTAACTTCCAATAAATCTTGTTCAAATGCAGAATTAATGTTCATTTGAGATGAAATAACTAACCATGGTCTAGAATATATGTACATATTTATTATTTTAAATAAATAAAAGAGAATTTTTAAAAATATTTTATTACCTCATATTATTAGAATTTGGTTTAAGATTATCCACAAGAGAGCTATATACTGGTAAACTGATATCAAAATCAGATCTATATGTTAATGATGACATTCCTGCACCTGCAATCATTGCTTTTCCAATAGGTACATCAATGACTGTATTGTAATCAGGTACACTTCCAGGTACCATATTAAATATTAAATGATTTTCTCCATTATTCCAGCTGAAATATAAGCAATGAATTACAAATATCATACATTGTTTATTCAAATGTATATGAAATAAAATGAACCTTACAATGGCAATGCTTTCAAGGCTTGCGAAACTTCTTGTAATTTTAATCTATTTTGATTTAATGTATCAATTGAAGGAATGAAAATACATGCTTCATATGGATTTGGTGTATAAAATTTACTTGAAATAATAGTATTTAAAATTTGATAAAATTCTTTTGTTATTTGATTTGTTATAGGCCTTCCCAAGGAATCTACATACATTTTTGGGGGATAGACATATACTAAAAGTTTATTTCCTTGACTACCACAGCGATAAACATTAAAACAACTAAAGTATGTGCAAGAAATATTTGTAGTATCTGCCACTGGAAGATCTTCATCAATTACTTGAATTGGCAATGATTGTAAGTCGTTAAGAATAATAGCATTATATACAGAGCGTTTTTGTGTACTCCCAAATTTAAAGATATGATATGTAGTAATTAAAATTATAAACAATGTAAATATTAATAAACATATAACAAAAACATTGTGATAGTGATAAGAAATTCTATTCACTTTATGTGACATTCTTGTTGATAATACCATATTGTTTGGTATTACCACTATAAACTCACTAATTTAAGATAGTTTAAGGTTTTTTATCATATAAGGCGTCATTTTTTGTAATTATCCTAACATTTATAAATTCAAATATTGATACATTAAACAATTAACTATTTAACCCACTAATTTTATCAGTTCAATCGGCTTTCTATCAATATAATAGTATTTCTATTATCTCTTCTTAAATAATTTTATATTTACACACACACGCGTGCGTACGTGCCAATATAAATTGTTTTTGAGGTTATATTTTCGAATACTCGTTTACATTTGGTGCATAATTATTTTTAAAAAATTAATATCGTAGACTCTATACTAATCTATGAATAATATACTACATCTCATATGTAAAAATATTAATAACTTTTCGTGCATAATTTCATCACAAATTAACAGTACAAAAATGAATTAAATTTCATATATAGAATGTATACATATAGTATATGATATCAAAAACAATATCGTGCAATGTTTGATTAGAAAATGTATTAACGAATTTTATATATTATTTTCTTATATATTATATATTATATATTATTTTCTTAGTACATATAAAATGAAAACATAATCCAAACTTAATCCGATACTCATAATTCAAAATGAAATATTTTTATTTCCACTGAAGCGAAGTTCATTCTAATAATTTTATTTCTATTAAACCGGAGTTCAGTTAAAATGAATCCTTTAACGTGAGTATTTTTATAATATATTTGAATATAAATGTACTTATTTAATTTAAAAGAAGGCATAACTTTATTTGTACATATTTCTAGAAACGTAAAAAATATAAAAAAGCTTGGAGAACAAGAATTAGTAAGTAATAGGAGTACGTCTTGGCATGATCAATATGGAGATAGTGCTTGGATCTTTATCGGTGGATTACCATATGATTTAACAGAAGGTGATGTTATAACAGTATTTTCTCAGTAAGTTTTAAACATTCAAGGTAATTTATAAATTTCTGTTTAATAAATGTTAACTGTAATTATTGTTATTATAGATATGGAGAAGTAGTAAATATAAATTTAATACGGGATAAAAATACAGGAAAACAGAAAGGATATGGTTTTTTATGCTATGAAAATCAAAAAAGTACAGTATTAGCTGTTGATAACTTAAATGGTATTAAGGTAGAAACATTTCTGAAATAAATTATTTTGTATTAAGTTCTTCAATAACATTATAACATGAAACAAAAATTATATTGATTAACTTTAATAACAATTGTACATTTCAGATTTTAGGCAGAACAATAAGAGTTGATCATGTAGCAAATTATAAAGCACCGAAAGATTCAAAAAATGTTGACGAAGAGACTAAACGGTTAAGAAAAGAAGGTTGTGCTCCAAAAAATATATAGTAAAAATTGTGATAATTGGTATATCAATATTAGATTGCTGTTATTTATGCATTGACACTAAATGGAAATGTGCAAAAATGAACAAGACAATGAGTATAAATGTACAAATATATGAAATATAAAAAGTAAAATATATATTACAAGATATTTAGAACAGAAAATGTATTTTTATTGACATTTAGATGTCATATATCAGTGTCAATATGAAAATATAAATTTGCATAAACATCTGCAATCTAGTCATTACTTTTAGTACAAATGAAATCCGTATAAAATATTAAAATATAATTGTATGTATTAAACCTTTGTAAAAGTATTTAAATATTATTTTTAAAACAAATTGTAGTTAAAACAGTAATTTAGTTGCATTTAAATGTGGACTTAATGAACAACGCCAATTTCGTTAATATTTTGTATTTTTATGAATTCTATAATCTTCTCATACACACACGCACACATTTCAATTCTTAATAATTTAAATATAAAAATAAATATATTCAAAATTGTAAGTAAAACTGTTAATTTTATTTTTATAATATAGTCATTTTAAAATATCTAAATTAGTTCTGAAGTACATATACACTATAGAAACATCAAACAATAATTGACTTAGACAAATGAGAATCTATAGACTATAAAATCATTTAATATCATCCTTTGCATTTTAGTTCTATAGATCAAGTAATAATAACATAATATCAAATTGCATTCTCCCACTAAAAAATTATTTTGTAATATTATATAATTTGCGCAATTTTTCGTGTACAGTGTATTATAAAATCGAAGTAAAGATTTTAATTTGTAGAAAATCGTGTTAATTTGCATTACTCGTTGATTATAAATTAGAAAAAGTATAGTTGCTCATAATAGTAATACGATGAAGAAAGTCGAGAATTCGATTATTATGGTACTGATAGATATGTTGTGATTATTATATTTTGCTTATCAATAATTACAAATAAAAAATTTAAATAATCTTCGTCTAAATAAGCAATTTTTTATGAAATCATATTTTTTGAGTAGAATGATATCAGGATGAACCAAATTCACTCATCCATTTTTCATATTTTTCTAAATCTTCTTGAGAAACACTCTTATTACACCTTTCCACAGCTTCATCAAAATCTGCAGCAGATACAGGTAAATCTAGTTCTTCTTTTGGTAATTGTCTAATTTGATCAGGTTTTAAACCCGCAATTTTTTTCCGCATCGACATCATGGACGCATCTCTGTACATAAATATGCTCAAAATGTACGTGTATATTACACATATAAAATTTTATATATATTAAATATTTTTGTTTACCTGCAAACGTTTGTAATATCTGCTCCAGAATAACCTTCTAATTTTTTTGCAATATCTGCTAAATCTACAGATAAATCTACTTTTACTTCTCGTAAGTTAATTTTTAACAGTGCTTCTCTACCTTCACCTGTGTATTCCAATTTTTTGTTAGAAAATTAATGTATACATCACATAAATTGCTCCTATGAAATTCCAATTAACTTACGATTTGGTAAGGGAATATAAATACGCTTTTCTAATCGTCTTCGAAGAGCTTCATCAATATCCCATGGAAAGTTTGTTGCTGCTAACACCATTACAACTTTACTTGGATCTTCACTAGAAAATACATTCTATCTTATAAACAATTCATATAAATAAAAAATTATATATAGAATTATTCTACCTATTGGAACTTATACCATCCATTTGTACCAGAAGTTCAGATTTTACTCGTCGTGAAGCTTCATGTTCAGACTCAGATCCTCTTCTAGAGCAGAGAGAGTCAATTTCGTCAATGAAGATCGTGCTAGGTGCATAAAATCTGGCCTGCATAAAAGTACATATAATGATTAAAAAGTAGCTAAAAATATTTTTTGCTTAAATACATTCACAGTTTTACTAAACAATATATCATTTCACTGTTGATAATAATTACCATTTCAAAAAGTAGACGAACAAGTTTTTCAGATTCTCCCCTATACTTTGAAGTTAAAGTGGAAGATGATACATTAAAAAATGTTGTTCCACATTCAGTGGCTACTGCTTTTGCTAACATTGTTTTTCCAGTTCCTGGTGGACCAACCATAAGTACTCCTTTCCAAGGGCGACGAATTCCCTGAAAATATAAACCATATTTTATTATGAGAAATATCGAATATACAAGATTGGTACATATACCTTAAAGAAATCTGGCATCCACATTGGAAGAACAACAGCTTCTTCCAACAATCGTTTTGCTTCATGCAAGTCAGCTATATCGTCCCAATGAATATTTGGATTTTTTTGAACAATATCTCTTTCTGTAACATTTATATGAATATATACCAATTTTACATTAAGACTGTTATTATACTATTATATATATTACCTAATAAATCAACCAAATCTCTATCATTTCCAGATGGTTCAAATTTGCGTTCCTCTACTTCCACATCTACTTTTTCAGTTTCCAATTTCTCCTGAAAATATTATTTATAATATCATCATGTTGTATATATGGAAATAATTGACTAAAAAAATATAAAAATGTAAGTTACTTTGTTTATGTCATCCTTTCTTGATGTTTTTCTCTCATCTTTCTTAGCAATTTTGGCATCTGGTCTTTTCCCAGTGGTTACAGATCTTCGTACATTTGTCCGATTTTGTTGTTGTTTCGGTTGATTCTTCAGTGGTCTAATATTTCTATGTGAATATAATTTAATAGTATCAATATAATGTAATTTTCTTTGGTTGAAACTTGTTTTTTACAATAAATATATCTAAATATAAAATTACTTTTGCTCAGCAGGTGTTAAAGGTGGCCATACATCTGGATCTCTTGCTGGTGTTTGATTCCATGAACTATCTGAATTATTATAGGTCCATAAAGTTGGATCTCTTGTTGGCTCCTCAAATGATAAACATGAAGTACCTAAATGTTTGTTTTACATTTTTATTACTTTATTGTACATATCCTTATTACAAGTTTTTTATAAATAATCATACCCAGTAATCTTTCTCCATGCGTATCGACTTTGAAAAGTTGTAAGGTATTTGAAGTTGCTTTTACTTTTTCAAATTCTTGAACAATTTGATGTTGCACAAGTTGCCATTTAGCTTTCCGTGTGACATCTGCAATGCTTGCAAGCAACCGATGAATCTGTTGAACAACACCTTGGTAATAAACTCCAGATGTATCATAGTTTCCAGTCAAAGCCATTTCACGAGCCAGTTTGGTATTTTCACAAATTTCATTGATTGAAACTGCCATGATTTTTTTAAAATGCATACATATATATATGAACCTGTATGTACACAAATATTTACAATAAAAACGATAAAATCTCAAACAAGAAATGATATATTTCGGCTTAATTTAGTTCAATATTCTTAAGATCAATTCAAGATAAATTATTTGAAAACATTACATTAACACTAATATTAATATACAAAAATAATTGTCTACTTTATTATATCATTGTATCAAAACCTTTAATATAAATAATTGTTAGCAATTAGCATGTTCCAATGAAGTAAAATATATTATAAATTTCATACAATAAATTAATTTTTTAATTACTAAGCAGAAACAAAACCAATACTACAATATTTGTTGTTTCTCTAGATAATTATAATATTACATCTAAATATGTATGTATGTAAGTCAAATTACTTTTATATGAAACGATCTTTTAAAATATTAAAACTATTATCGTAAATATCGAACCTATCTCAGAATGAATACTATGAACTCAGATCCGAAAAATAATGTAACTCGTGATTAGCATGCTGTAAATTAGTAAAAATAATTGAATTATCGTACAATTATTAAAAAATCCTACTAGTTACAAACAACACAGTTATTTGCCATATAATTTACTCGAATTTGTTGAAACGGTCGCCATATTATCATTTAGAAATCGCGGTATTTTTTAAATTCTTGTCTTTCACTCAAAACTTTATTAATAATTAACGTATCTCCTCAGCATTTCATTATTCTAGTTTCTCTACTTAAATTTTGAAGTATAAATGCATTTTAATTAAAACGTTATTCTAATACACAATGTAATATGAAAATCGATACTATAATAACGCAGAAACTCTAAACCAAGGAGAAAATAAACAGATTTTTTAAATGTTGAGGATATAAACACAATGAAAGATAACTAAAAATGAAAGAACGTCGTATGTGAACTGTGTAGGTTATCATGCGTGGTTATACGGAATTGTATATCTTTTATGATATCGTAGACAAATAAGAACGATACACATACGTATATCAATATTGTTATATATTTTATAATAGTGTTCGTAATAATTACATTACGTATGATTTTGTATCAACAAAAAGACAAATTTTGAATTACTAACGAAGTAGAAGATATAAGGACTTTTCAAATGCAGGACATCTCTGATGATTGTACAGGTTGGTATTATGTAAAATTATCTAAATAGTATTTATTTCATTTCTATATTTTACATAGTTACTTTAATAAGTATTTCTCACGTGTTAGATATGAGATTATTACCAATGAATGAAGTGCTCAAACCACTAGCTTGGTTAAAAGGAACATGGAGAACTAAAAGTCCTGGAGCTGGTAAATATCCAACAATTCAACCGTTCAGATATTGCGAAGAGATGTCCTTCTCTTCTATCGGACAACCAATGTTAAATTATTCTGCACTAAGTTGGAAGCCTGATGAAAAAACTCCAATGCATTATGAAGTTGGATTTTTGAAAATAATACCTGATACAAACAAAGTTTATATGCTGCTGTCTCATAACTTTGGTGTAACAACAATAGAAGAAGGAGTTGTTGAAGATAAAATCATTAAATTGAAAACTACTCATATAGGAAGACCAACAGAAGGAACGAGAAGACCTATAGTACTGGAGGTATAATTATTTACTTAAAAATTAATTTATTAAAAGAATAACATATGATTAATCATTATTTTAAACAGCTTCGAAGACAATTTGCTCTTGTTGGAGACTGTTTAGAACATACATTATATATGGCTACGGAAGACACAAAATTGCAAGAACATTTACATGCAGTTTATATTAAAAAATGTGAAACTGACCCATGAAACTATACAATATAATTATATTAAACTGTACAATATGATATATATATATATATATCTATATATATATATAGATAGATAGGATATATATTATAGATATATATATATATATTATATATATATATGTATATATATATATATATATATATAAACTC